CGCGGTTGTCTGTTTCAATCGGGAGGGAGTCTCAGGCTCTGGGCTCCAGTTCTGGGTGAGTCTCTGGGGACCCAGACTCAAATGGGAGAAGCGGGACTGTCTGGCATCGGTCAGAACTCGAGGGCAGCTTTCTTTCCGAGGTACTTGCAGCGGTTGCTGGGACACTTGAGAGGCAGAGCCTCTGGGGACAGGATTGAGAGCAACCATAACTGCTCACTCTGCCCGCCCTGTTGATCCCCTGGGACTCGCCCCACCCAAGCCTTGCACGGAGGCATTTGCTGGTTAGCCTCAGGCAGAGGCTAGATTAGCGCCGCCCTAGAGATCCAGGACAGAAGTTCTCCCACTGCAGACACAACTGATTCTCACAGCCAATTGGTCTGGAGGTCAAATACCTCCAAGTGTTACCTACTACAATCAAGGCTTAGCTACAACAAGACTGTGCACAAAGACCACAAGGGGGTGCACCAAGAGTGTCTACCTCAGGTAATTGGGACACTTAGCACAGAAAGCCACTCTATCGACACAGCGAATCATAAAAAATGCCGAGACAAAGAAACAGGACACAAATGACAGAAATGGAGGAAAGCAGGCTGCTGGATATAGAATTCAAAACCACACTATTGAGGTCTTTCAAGAGTCTTCTAGAGACTGCCAATAAACTTAATGAGATGTACAAGAAATCTAATGAGACCCTCGATGTTGTGATAAAGGACCAACTAGAAATTAAGCATACACTGACTGAAATAAAGAATATTATACAAACTCCCAACAGCAGACCAGAGGATCGCAAGATTCTCGAGCACGGTAGGGACAGTTCACAGGGATCTAAAGGTACTTGGGTCCCAGGCGATGGCAGTATCAGGATAGAAAAAAAGGCAGCCCTGAAGCATCTTGTCAGGGCTGGGCTCAATGTCAATGCCATGCGGCATGTTGCTCGGGTCGAAGGCCAAAGTTTCTGACAGCCCTTAATTTAAATTATATCTACAGAGCTTTTCTCTACCAACTTAACTTACCTCTGGCTTTGCATTTACAGGTGCTTAACACAAGAAGGATGACTAGAATTTAAATTTTAAATTTTGTGTGACATTCAATTTATTGAAGTATATGTTATCAGATGAACACATTCTTTTTTAAAAATCTTTATTGTTGAAAGTATTACAGATGTCCAGATAAATTTTTTTTTTGTTTTCCCCACTGACCTCCTCCACCTCCAATAAACGGCCTCTCCTTTTGCATTAACCAGTATTCAAAGATTTGAAATATGAAGAAGCAAAAAACACCCAACTGGAAAAGCAAAATGAAAAAAGAATCCAAAAATATGAAGATAGTGTAAGGAGCCTCTGGGACAGCTTCAAGCGTACCAACATCCGAATTATAGGGGTGCCAGAAGATGAGAGAGAGCAAGATATTGAAAACCTATTTGAAGAAATAATGACAGAAAACTTCCCCTACCTGGTGAAAGAAATAGACTTCCAAGTCCAGGAAGCACAGAGAACCCCAAACAAGAGGAATCCAAAGAGGACCACACCAAGACACATCATAATTAAAATGCCAAGAGCAAAAGACAAAGAGAGAATCTTAAAAGCAGCAAGAGAAAGAAACTCAGTTACCTACAAGGGAATACCCATACGACTGTCAGCTGATTTCTCAACAGAAACTTTGCAGGTCAGAAGGGAGTGGCTAGAAATATTCAAAGTGATGGATGCCAAGAACCTACAACCAAGATTACTTTATCCAGCAAAGCTATCATTCAGAATTGAAGGTCAGATAAAGAGCTTCACAGATAAGAAAAAGCTAAAGGAGTTCATCACCACCAAACCACTATTATATGAAATGCTGAAAGGTATCCTTTAAGAAGAGGAAGAACAAGAAAAAGGTAAAGATACAAATTATGAACAACAAATACATATCTATCAACAAGTGAATCTAAGAATCAAGTGAATAAATAATCTGATGAACAGTATGAACTGCTGATTATAATAGAATCAGGGACATAGAAAGGGAATGGACTGACTATTCTTGGGGGGGAAAGGGGTGTGGGGGATGGGGGAAGAGACTGGACAAAAATCGTGCACCTATGGATGAGGACAGTGGGTGGGGAGTGGGGTGGGAACTGGGAGGAGGGGAGTTATGGGGGGAAAAAAGAGGAACAAATGTAATAACCTGAACAATAAAGATTTAGTTTTAAAAAAAAAGTCCAGGACGGGTAGTTGCCTGTGGCGATGGCATTAAAGGGACCCTGAGCCCATAGTCAGGATCTTCATGGGAGAGTCTTGCTGCATCTTCAACCAAAAGGTTTTTGATGCCCTGGTCAGTCTTATAATGGAATTTGCAATAAACAGCCTCTCCTTTCGCATTAACCAGCTTGAAAGTATGCGACCCCATATCCATTCATGTGCCTGTGTCCATCTGGAATCCCCCCGATCACTGAACAAGAAGAAGGCAATGCAGAGACTCAGGCCGCAGGCTCCAGAAGTCCCAGACCATGTCTGGGTCCTTCAGGTGCATTTGAGGGTTTCTCTTTTGGCTGTGGATGAAGGAACAATATGGCATCCCTGATGAAGAAAATGGGGGTGTTGTTCCCAACAAGATCCCAATTATCAACCTCTGTGTAAAATTTCACTGCAAACCCACGAGGGTCGGCTGAGCCCGATTCTCCAGCAACAGTGGAGAATTGAACTGCAATCGAACTCTTTCCAATATGCTCGAACACCTTCGCCTTGGAGTATTTGGTAACGTTGTGCATGACCTCAAAGTAGCCAAAAGCCCCTGCTCCTTTAGTATGCACGACTCTTTTTGGAATCTTCTCCCGGTCAAAGTGAGCCATTTCATCGGTGAAAACCACAGCTTGAACCAGGAGGGGCTCCTGTTGTCATAATATTACGTTTGTCCCCTATTGGAATACCAGCCCCAGAGGTGAGGACATCAGGTTTCTGTGTGTTCCACTGCTCCTTCCAATGCTTCATCTGGTTGCTGGCTGGGTCCTGGGAGTCCCCCATGGCGTCAGGCTTGGGTTGCAGAACGTTGCAGGAGGCCTCGGCACATGCCACCTTCTACAGCCAACGTGGCTACTGCCCCTGTTTATCTTAATATAAGAAAATGTATTTAGGAAATGAATTTTGTGTGACATTCAATTTATTGAAGTATATGTTATCAGATGAACACTTTCTTTTTTAAAATCTTTTATTGTTGAAAGTATTACAGATGTCCCCATTGTTTTACCCCACTGACCCCCTCCACCTCCAACCAACCCTCCTACGTCTTCACCACACTATTGTCGTGTCCGTGAGTTATGCATATATGCATATAGATTCTTTGGTTAATCTCTCCTCACCCACCCGCCCACCCCTGCCTTCCCTCTGAGATTCATCAGTCTGTTCCATGCTTCTGTCTCTGGATCTATTTTGTTCAACTGTTGTCTTAAAATTTCAACATTCTCTGATAATCGCCATTATCAGGGAAAAGAAATGTTACCAATTTTTCATCTTTGAAGAGTATCCAATTCCAGAGAACGGTGAGCAAGGCAGTACTTCAGAAAATACATGACATGTGGCTACTTAGCCTAACAATTTAAAGTTTCTGACAGCCCTTACTTTAAATCTACAGAGCTTTCTCTACCAACTTAACTTACCTCTGGCTTTGCATTTACAGGTGCTTAACACAAGAAGTATGACTAGAATTTAAAACAGTTATGAAAATGTTGGAATTACCTTTTGTTGCTTCATTTATTTCCAACCAATAATTGAGGGCTGGTAATAAAATATTGGTGACATTAGCAATGTCCATGAAATATAGCACTGTGTATACAAGAAACCTAGGACTCTCATCAACCTATGAACATGCTTTTGTCTTAGATGATTTGCGTCTGTTAACTCAATAAACCTGTCTTTATCCTAAGTACTCAGAAGTAATCAATTGGGGCTCAATCTGTTTTTTACTTAAACGGTGTTATCTGTGTTTCAAGACATGACCAAATGGTGTTTGACCAACTTCCATTAAATCCCACTCGGCCGCTAGGGGGAGACGCAGGCGGGCGGCGGCGGCACCCAGAGACCCGCAGCGGGACCGGCTCCAGTGGCGCCCCCAGGGCCTCCATCTTGGCCTTGGGGAAGGGAGCGGTGTCTGGGTCTCCTTGCCGTCTCCAGTCCCTGGGCCCCACACGGGCGCTGGGAGCAGGCTGTCCCTTGGCCGAATGGCACAGCGCGGCGCAGCGGAGTCAGCCCGGGGACTCGTCGCCCAGCCCCACAGACCCGGTTCCGAGTGGTCCCGACAAGATGGAGGACGCCGTCTCCTCCCGCAGCCATGACGGGTGGTGGCGGTGCTCCTCACGGGATGAGGCGCGGGTGGACGTGCGTCCGCCCCAGATCGCTCAGGGACGCCTTCGCCCGTCGCCCGACCCGTTGGCCCGGGGCCTCCAGCCTCCAGGATTTGGACACGAGGGCGTAGGGGACATCGAGGCAGCGTCCCTCCCCGGGCAAAATGCTGGGAACCGCCGCGGCGGACTGGACGCCCGGGCCGAGCGAGGGCAAGCGGTCCGGTCTCAGTGTCCCGGACTCTCCGGACACAGCAACTTCCTGCCCATAGTCCAGCGACCGAGCTCTTGGCCACGAGGCGGCAAAACACGGTCAGGGGACAGGCCCGACCGACCAGGTGGGGGCGGGGCAAGGAGGCAGGAGACGGCCGGGCGGGCTGGCGGGGAAGCGAAGGCCGAGGGTGGGACCGATGCATGATGGACAGCCTCACGGGCCATCCCTTCTAGGGATTCCTGAAGGAAGGCAGATGTAGCCAATGGACGCGCCCCGGGCCGGACCTCCACTGCAGCCATTGGGAGCCTGGGAGGCAGGGCCTGCCCCGGCCTGGCTGCGCTGTCGCCGCCTCCCGCTCTCAGAGGTAACCCGGCGACTGCCTGGAGTGGGCTGGTGCGTTCGCCCTGGGGAGTGGGTCGGGGAGGGGGAGCCGCAGCCAGAACCGGTGAGGCTCATCTCCGGGGTCTTTGCATTCCTGGCCCGCCGACAGCCTCCAGAGGCTGAGATGGGCGAGGGAGGCCTTCGGAGCCTCTCCCCGGCCCGGGACTAACCTCTGCGGCGCGGCTGCTGTCGCCACTGGGCGTCGGGCCCAGGGGACTAGTCGGGTTCCCGTGCGGCCTAAGGGCTGCGGGCTCGCGGGCGAGGCCAGGCGGGCCGGGTGAGGACGCCGGGCAGTGACGCCGCTGGCATTTTCCTTTCTGTCGGGGGAGCGGTTGGGGAGGGGCGCCGGGTCCTCCCTCTCTCCCTGGGCTGCGCAAGAGCTTGGGGTCCCCAGTTTTGTGGGCGACGTTCCGCGTCCGCTCCAGGGCCTGCTCTGCGCTCCCCTTCAGGTCTTAATGGGGCGCGATCTCGTGGCGGACGGGACGGGGATGGGTCGCAAGGCTCGGACCCAGGGCAAACGCTCGGGACCAATGTGGGAGATTTCAGCTCTGTGGCGACGTCTGCAGCCCCTACCCGGGCGCCCGGAGTGATGCGGGTGGGTCCGTTTGGGAGGTAATGCCATTATTCCATTTCCCTTGCTGGCGTCAAAGCAACGTTTGCCCCGCTCGCGTCCTTTGAGCTGGCCGGGTGCCTCCCCCCCATTCTGTACTTTGAGGGAACAGACGCAGCTCCGTCTGGTGGTGCGATACCAGTTTTTAAATTCTGGTTTCCCTGCTTCACTGGGGATGGGGAAGGCAAAAGAGCCCTGAACGCCTTTCTTCTATGTCCCTCTGCAGGGTAGGAATTATACAGCGTCCAGGTTGGCTGTAACTAAACTATTTTTCATCTTTTCTCTCCTTCTAGGACCAGGAATTACTTTCTGGCCAATCTGGTGACGCTTTGGCAGAAATTAAGAAGGAAAATATCCCCCTTAAGAGTAATTTAACCCTGCTTTTCTGTTTCATACATTGAGTGCAATAGTACAATGTTGTTCTGTGTGATTTATCTTTCTGTTATCTTGAAGGCAAAAAGCTAATTGCTTGGATGGACCCTATCACCAAAGCCCTGCCAGGCAAACACCTGGGAAAGTGCTAGGAGTGGGTGCCATTGATGCTTAATACCACTGATATTCTCTAAAGTTCCAAAATAGGACTTAAAGGTAGTTAGTTCTATTTTACAGGTTTTGTATTTAATATTTTTTTCTTTCCAATGAATACAAACATTTATTTTTGTTTACTGTTGGATTAACAAAATCTGACTCTCCTATTTTATTTTAAAGTTCATGTAAAGACTATTTTTTGTATGTGTCTGTCTTTCATTTGAGGAAAATGTATTTTTATGTACCCTTCTGGTTCCCAATCAGCATTACATCAGGAGGTAGATAGTCTAGTTGTCACAGTACATAGTTCCGAGCTCGACCACTGAATTGATAGGGACCACCAGATCCTTCCATTATGAAATGAATGTTTTTTCCTTGTTACCAGAAAGTAATCTACTTGGTGTTCATTTTTTTAAAAAATACTTTTATTATTAATTTCAGAAAGGAAGGGAGAGGGAGAGTGGGAAAGGAAGGGAATGGAAAGGCACAGGTGTACTCCGAGGAGGTTAGAATGCCTTTTTTGCAACTTTCAAAAAGCACATTTTAAAAAACTATGACACCAAGATATACATTTAAAAATGATTAAAATGGCAAGTTTTATGTTTTATATATACATTTAGATATAATTGTTATGTACATTTTTTAGACATAATGCTGTTGCATACTTAATAGACTACTATACAGTGAAAGCATAACTTTTATTTGCACTGGGAAGCCAAAAATATTGTGATATTTGCTTTATTGCAGTGGTGTGTAACTGAACCCTCAATATCTCCAAGGCATGCCTATAAAAACAACTATGAGATGAGATGTTACTATAAATAACTAAGTATAATTGGGCAAAGTACATATATATATAATATATATATATATAATATATATATACTTGTGTTAGTTTTTATCTTTACCCCTAAGTAGACATCCTGTTAACTTTGCAAGGGGTTTATCCATTACTAGAGATTTGTATCCATTACTAGAGTCCTGCTTCAGTTTCTTCCTTTTTGTATAGTGGTAGTAAAATTTTGTATCAACCTTCTCTGTGTAGATTTTTCTTTGATTTTACATAATTTGATTTTACATTAATTTTCATTGTATCATACAAAACTAAATTCAATTAAACATTAATTTGTAGATGAATGAGATACTATAAGTTATGAAAATGTTTAAGATTAATTAGACAATTGTTGAAATCCTAGGATATAGGCCAAAGATTTGTCTAAATACTGTCTCATGCACAATGATTTAACATTGTTTGCAGTCTTTCATATGGTCCAGGCATGTTCAGTTATTTCAATAAAAACCTTGGAGTCAGCCCTGACTGGTTTGGCTCAGTGGATAAAGCATCGGCCTATGGACTGAAGGATCCCAGGTTCGATTCCAGTCAGGGGCATGTGCCTTGGTTGCGGGTGCGTCCCCAGTAGGGGAGTAGGGGGTTGCAGGAGACAGCTGATTGATGTTTCTAGCTTTCTATCCCTCTCCCTTCCTCTCTGTAAAAAATCAATAAAACATATTAAAAACAAACAAACAAAAAACCCTTGGAGTCATATATTATCCCCATTTAGTTTACAGTTTAGAAAACTAAAACTCAGTGTCACCGCTAATTATTAAATCCATAATGTTTTCTCCGTTTTTGAATAATATTTTAGAAATAGTAGAAACTTTTCTGTAGTCTTATGTTTATGGAATTAAGAAACTGTTAGATGGTTAAATTAAATACACAATGGCTTTTAGTAGTGGTTAACTTTTTTATTATCTGGGATTTTGAAAATAGATGAATACTTAAACTTTTTTCCTTTTTTAAAATATATTTTTATTGATTTCAGAGAGGAAAAGAGAGGGGAGGTAGAAACATTAATGATGAAAGAGAATCATTGATTGGCTGCCTCCTGCATGCCCCCTCCTGGGGATCGAGCTGGCAACCCCGGGCATGTCCCCTTGACCGGAATTGAACCTGAGACCCTTTAGTCCACAGGCTGACGCTCTATCCACTGAGCCAAACCAGCTAGGGCTTAAACTTCTTTCAGAGGTAGGTGACTGCAGTGAGCTGAACATAAGGAAAGAATGTCCTTTGTATTTTCATTGAGAAGATTGAGGTAGGTCCTAGGACATAGCAGCCACAAGAGTCTACTGTGCAATTGACTATAGCTCTTTTCCAGAAATTGTTCTTTTCTGTTTTACATTTATTCAAATGAAGAAAGGACTGAGAGAGTTCGTATATAACAGTTCTTATATTTCATAACTCAGTTGAGGCTAAATTATTGCCTCTTGCCTTTGAAAATCAACCATATACTAAGTTTACTGAAGAAGTGTTGACCATGATCCCAATTTTTGTGTTTATTTTGTAACCCTTCTATACTGGTCTCTTAGATTCATTATTTCTGCATCTTTGAAATAGACTTATTTGAATGTTAACTTTTTTTTAAATGAACTAGTTCATTGTAATAAAAGAGAAGTGATTTTAAAAAATTGTTTTATATATTAATTGCATATAACATAATGGTTATGAGATAGATTCTGGAGTCAGATTTCTTGGATTTGAATCCTGACTCTATCCTTCTCAGGATTGGAGACTTGGACAGGCCATGTGGATTCCTTATCTTCTGAGTCTTAAGTTTCCTAATGGGTAAAGTGGGAAAAAAAGAATAGTTCCTACCTTATGTAAGCATTAACTAAATATATTATTGACATAGCACCTATTACATAACTATAACTATTATCAATTAAATTACTTGGGAGAATTTTAGAATAGAAATGTTACTTAGCATTTCAATATGAGATGTTTAAACACCCATACAGTTCCCACCTCCTTCACTCTCGAGTTTCTAGCTAAGAAAATTGAGGCCAGCATGGATAAACTTAACTAAGTTTTCCACCTATCATTTCTACACTAATATATATTCCAGTTATGCCTACTTTTTTCCCTCTGGCCTTTGAAATAGAGGTGATTTCTATTCAAGATCAATTTCACTGCCACCTGTGCACATATCCACATCTAACTTGCAAGAGCCTTGCTTTATTGATTATTCACTTCTCCAGATTCTTTTTTTTTTAATCCTCACCCGAGAATTGAGGGTATTTTTTATTTTCTTTTTGTTTTTAAGAGGGTATTTTTTCCATTGACTTTTGGAGTGAGTAGAAGGGTGGGAAGTGGAGGAGAAAGAGAGAACCATCGAGGTAAAAGAGACTCATTGACTATTTGCCATCCATGGTGCCCAGTCAGGACCCGGGATCGAACCTGGGACTTTTTGGTCCTCTGGTCCACTGAGCAAAACCAGCTAAGGCCAGATTCTTTCCTTTATCATACCCAAGTGCGTAGTAGGTACAAAGAAGTGTTTGTTGAATATAACAGAGTGGTTAAGAATTTGGAGTCTGGAATTAAAGTCCTATTTGAGCTTATCAAAAACAATTTAGTTAGCTTATCTTTCCTGATCTGTAAAATTGATTAAATTATGTCTATACAGTGGGGCCTTGACTTATGAGTTTAATTCGTTCGAGACCAAGCTCGTTAAGGAGCTTGTTAACTCAAATTACTCTATCAACTCAATGCAAAAAATCGGCTGAGAGACAGCTGGTAACTCAAAAAACTCGTTAGTCGGGACACTCTTAAGTCAAGGCCCCACTGTATCATGGGGTTTATAGAATTATACATAGAAAGCACAGCATGATGTTTGAAGATTACTGCACAAAAGGGCAAAAGTGATTCAGAAAGATTTAATCATATAGTTATATTGGAAGTAGAGAATTTGAAAAAATGACAAAAGATTAGGGAAATAGGGATTGGACAACGACAGTCATTTTAGCAGATAGTATACATAGTAGATTGATTATATTTGGAGTGTGGATTATTAGTACTTGATAAATTATTTTATTGCTGTTTTCTGTTCTTTTTAAAAATATATATATTTTTATTGATTTCAGAGAGGAACGGAGAGGGAGAGAGAGAAACATCAATGATGAAAGAGAATCATTGATCAGCTGCCTCCTGCATGCCCTACACTGGGGATCAAGCCTGTAACCCGGTCATGTGCCCTGAACAGCAATTGAACTGTGACCTCATGGTTCATAGAGCAACGCTCAATCATTGAGTCACGCTGGACAGGCGTTACTGTTTTTTATTTCAAAGGAAGACAGGTATTTTTTTCCCTATAAAGGGTGAGTAGGTAATTGAGTACAGAAGGTCCTCAAAAATGTTTCATTATGAGGTCAACCAAAGGACTTGTATGCATGCATATAAGCATAAGCAATGGATGCAGACAACGGGGTGAGGTGAGGGCAAGACTGGGGGGATGAGGGGATAATGGGGCGATAAAGACATTTGTAATAGCTTAATAAAACATTTAAAAAAATGTTTCATTATAAGATTGATGAGATGCTGTAGGAACCAGCTGTTGTTTATATCCTATGGTTATATCAATTAGCCTATGGTAAAATTGGTTTCCTTAAATGTTTTGCTTAAGGTAACAGAACCTATTGATGCTAAAGAAGGATTACTCTTAGTTGAGTAGATGTTCTTTTAAGATTTGACTTTGGTTGGTGGTCACACAGTACAATATACAGATCTTGTAGCATAAAACCCCACACCTGAAACTTATATGATCATGTTTACCAATGTCACCCCAGTAAATTTAATTAAAAACATTTTTTAGGGACTACCAAAAATTGTATAAATTTTATCGAACTGTGAAGAAGTAAGCATTAATGGAAGAGGATAAGCAGAATGGTGACCAATTTTTTCCCTAAATGTTAGATTAAAATCACATAAGAATAGAATTAAAAATATCATTTGTGCTAGTTCTTGCAATAATAATATACTATAACTTTTTTTTTCTTTTTCTGTCTCTTACAGGTTGTTGTTGTTGTTTTTTGTCATAGACACATGTTCAGTGGGAGAATTGGACTTGACTGAACAGACTTCTGTGTTATTAGGGAGTAAAGCCATGGCAACTAGTCTCACGGACGTAGGAAATTCATTTGGTCATCCAACTAGTACTTTAGTTAATAGATCGAGAAACTCATCGGTGCAAGACGATGATGATGATGTTGTGTTTATTGAATCTAAACATCCTCCTTCAACTTCTTCAGCAATAGTTGATCAAAAAAATTTTATATTTGCTTCATCAAGAAATGAAAAACTACAAGGAAATGATTCCCTAATTCCTTCCTCAAGAGATTTGGCTTCCCAAAAGGGATATATAAGTGAGACTATTATTATTGATGATGAAGAGGACATAGAAACAAATGGAGGGAAAAAGAATTCTTTCAGTTTTATTGAATGGGGACTTCCAGGAACTAAAAACAGAACCAAAGATGTGGACTTCTCCACTTCCAGTCTTTCAAGAAGAAAGGTAAATGTAGGAATGGGTAATAGTGTTATCACTACAGAATTGACTCTGAAATTCAGATTGCTAGTGTTAACAACCTTAGAAACAGGTATAAGCTCTCTGAATTATGGGCAAGATATGAACTTAATGATTACACTTGTAGCATCACTATAGAATACCAACTTGGGAGATGTCGCTAAAGGACTTCAGCCAAGTAATTTTGGTGTTAATATACAAACATACACCCCATCTTTAACTTCACAGACCAAGACTGCAGTAGGACCTTTTAATCCTGGTAGGATGAATGTGGCAGGAAATGAATTTCAGAAAGGAGGATTTGCGACTCATCATAGTCCTGGTAAGCCATGAGTGATCTACCCCAAGTGAAAACTGTTGGCTGTTATTTTTACAACCCATTTCATTTATGTTCTATATGTGAAATATTTTCTTTCTCTTGACTTTCAGGTTATGATAGCATATTTTACTTAATAAAACTGTGCAGTCTACTTGGTCTGTGATTTTCAGAAATTTAATCTATTATACCTATCGTAGTTTACATCTAAAGTGGTTTAATTGAAAACCTCCATAACCATTACCATTGACCTTGTTTACTAGTGTCTATTTTAATGTAAAAATCATAGAATAAAAAGGTGTGTTGGCCCTGGCCAGCTTGGCTTAGTGGATAGCGCGTCAGCCCACAGACTGAAAGGTTTTGGGTTTGATTCTGGTCAAGGACATGTACCTAGATTGCAGACTCCATCCCTGGCCTGTAGGCAACCAAATGATGAGTCCCTCTCACATTGATGTTTCTCTCTCTTTCCCTCCCTCACCCTCCCTTTTACTCTCTCTAAAAATCAATGGAAAAATATCCTTGGGTGAAGATAACTACAACAAAAAGATGTATTGAACTGAAGGGGAATATAATGTAATATTATGTAGTAATTGACTTATATTTTAGTTATAATTATGTAACTTGAAATTTCAATTTTTGCTTAATGTGTTTATTTTGAGACTGCTTGTCTCTGATTTTCATTTTTAAATCATCATTTTATTGCTTAATTTGAAAGGTTTCTTGCTTTAATTCAGAGATCTATACTTTTAAAAGTCTTGTTCTGAAAAAATTAAGATATAATGATAGTTTTTTAAAACTTAGCAAATCCTTTTTGTGGCTTTTTCATGACACGTGGGGTTTTTCTTTTTCAAATATATTTTTATTGATGTCAGAGAGGAAGGGAGAGAGAGACAGACACCAGTAATGAGAGAGAATCATTGGTCAGCTGCCTCCTGCACTGGGAATTGAGCCCGCAATCTGGGCATGTGCACTGACCAGGAATCAAAGCATAACCTCCTTGTTCATAGGTTGAAGCTCACCCACTGATATTTGAGTGTTGATTTTGTTATCTGCCGAATTCATTTATTAAATCTAGTAGTTTTTTTGGTGGCGTCTTTAGGGTTTTCTATGTACAATATCCTGTAATCTACAAATAATAATAGTTTTACTTCTCCTTTCCAATATGGATGCCTTTTATTTCTTCTTGTCTGATCACTTTGGCTAGGATTTGCAGTACTATCTTGTAAAGGAGTTGTGAAAACAGACATCCCTGTTTTTAGGGGAAATGGTTTTAGTTTTTGCCCATTGAGGATGATGTTTGCTGTAGGTTTGTCATATATGGCCTTTATCATGTTGAGATATGCTCCCTCTATTTCTGCTTTGCTGAGAGATTTTATTTAAAAAGGGTGTTTGATTTTGTCAAAAGCTTTTCCTGCATCTATTGATATGATCGTGGGATTTTTTTAATTTTTATTTTTTTTAAATATATTTTTATTGATTTTAGAGAGGAAGAGAGAGAGAGAGAGAGAGAGAGAGAGAGAGAGAAACATCAATGATGAGAGAGAATCACTGATCAGTTGCCTCCTGCACTACTGGGGATCGAGCCCGCAACCCAGGCATGTGCCCTTGGCTGGAATCAAACCTGGGACCCTTCTGTCCACAGGCCGACACTCTATCCACTGAGCCAAACCAGCTAGGGCTGATTATGTGATTTTTGTCTTTCAATTTCTTTATGTGATGTATCACATTTATTGATTTGCGAATATTGTACCAGCCTTGCAGACCTGGAAGAAATCCCATTTGGTCATGGTTTATCATCTTTTTAATATAGTGCTGGATCTGTTTTGCTAATATTTTGTTGAGGATTTTAGCATCTAGGTTCATTAGGGATATTGGCCTGTAAATCTCTTTGTAGTCTCTTTATCTGGTTTTGGAATTAGGATAATGCTGGCCTCATAAAAAGAGCTTAGAAGTTTTCCTTCCTCATGGATTTTTTTGGAATAGTTTGAGGAGGATAGGTTTTAGTTCCCTTTGAAGGTTTGGTAAAACTCCTCTGTGAAGCAATCCGGACCAGAACTTTTGTTGGCTGGAATTCGTGCACCAGTGGAGTCCCTTGTCCTGGCCTGCGGGATTGGGCTGAAACTGGCTCTCTGACATCCCCTGAGGGGTCACAGGTTGTGAGAGGGCATAGGCCAGGCCAAGGAACCCCACCAATGCACAATCGGGGCTGGAGGGACCACAGGAGAGCTCCAGGATGTGTCCAGCTTGTCTTGCTCAGTCCTGATTGGCTGGCCTGACCCCAGCAGCAAGCTAACCTACTGGTCGAAGCGTCTGCCCCCTGGTGGTCAGTGCACATCATAGCGACTGGTGACAGGTTGACTGCCCACTGGTGGTCAGTGTACATCATAGCAAGCGGTCCAGTGGCCTTAGTATTGTAGCGAATGACCTAGGACCGTGGTCGGCAAACCGCGGCTTCCGAGCCACATGCTGCTCTTTGGCCCCTTGAGTGTGGCTCTTCCTCAAAATACCACGTGCAGGCGCGCACATACAGTGCAATTGAAACTTCGTGGCCCATGCGCAGAAGTCGGTATTTTGTGGAAGAGCCACACTCAAGGGGCCAAAGAGCCGCATGTGGCTCACGAGCCGCGGTTTGCCGGCCACTGACCTAGGAGAATGACAGTCGACACTCAGAGGAATTAGGAAAGTAAAACCTTTCTTACACGGCACTGCTGGTCCAGGGGACTTTGATCCAAAGCCTGAACTGCCAATGTGGGGAGGTTTTTTGTTTTTTTGTTTGTTTTTTGTTTTTAAATACTTCTATTGATTTCAGAGAGGAAGAGAGAGGGAGAGAGAGATAGAAACATTCATGATGAGACAGAATCAGTTGATCGGCTTCCTCTTGCATGCCCCCTCCTGGGGACCAAGCCCGCAACCTGGGCATGTGCCTTTCACCGGGATGGAACCTGGAACCCTACAGTCCGCAGGCCGATGCTCTATCCACTGAGCCAAACTGGCTGGGCAAATGTGGGGAGGTTTTGATATATATCTTCTTGTGGTCCCCTCAGGGTGGGCTTTGTAGCTCCGCCCAAGTCAGTTAGAATGGGGTTTGTGGCGGGCCCCTCAGGATGGGCTAAGGTCGAGATCTGTCTAGCTATTTCCTGCTGAGGGGGGGCGACGAAAAGGAGGGTGTAGCATGCCGAGTCTTCATCATTTTCCCCAAGGGGGTCATTATAGTAGTTCGGAGTAACAAGGTCAGAGAAGTTCTCCTCCCGGTACTAGTCTGGGGATCCGGCAACACTCGTATTCAGAAATACCAAAGTCAGGTCAGTCAGCCGGATCCTCCGCCGTCTTAAAGATGATCCGCAGGGGCTTGTTCAGGTCAGAGGTCACCTTCCACTCTGGATGCTTGATTGTCCAGCTGGTGGGCTGCTTTCCCCCCGGGAATGGTGGATCCAGGTGTTCAGTCCTGCAACTTTAAGAGCTGAGGGGGTGATTAGTACAACTAGATAAGGTTCCTTCCAGGTTGGCGTATGGGTTCCTTTTTCCAGTATTTTATCCAAACCTGGTCCTCAGGCTTGTGAGGGTGCACAGCTGTTCCTAGAGAGATGGGCAATCAATCAGTAACCCATCTGTGGACTTCAAGGATAGTTTTCCCAAGTCCTTGTAGCTGTTTCTGAATTTCTAAGTTCCCTACTTCCCCAAATCTCCCTTTGGCCGAATTAAGGGAGGGGGTCTGCCATATAGAATTTCAAATGGAGAGAACCCTCCCTGTGCTGCCATTTTTAATCTCCTTATCTTATTTTTTTGAGGTAAGTTTTTTTAATGGAATTGCTAAGTCAAAATGTCAGCATATTTTATAAAGCTTTAGATGGTTAATACAAAATTGCTCCCACAAGGAAACTATTACTTTTCTTATAACTGGTGCTTCCATATTGTAAGCTTCCCACAGGGGTAGGAATATTATTTAATGTTTTCTAAACTGTGCTGTCTTTTAAAATATATTTTCCAAATATATTTTATTGATTTTTTACAGAGAGGAAGGGAGAGGAATAGAGAGTTAGAAACATGATGAGAGAGAAACATCCATCGATCACCTGCCTCCTGCATACCCCCTACTGGGGATGTGCCTGCAACCAAGGTACATGCCCTTGACCGGAATCAAACCTGGGACCCTTCAGTCTGCAGGCCGATGCTCTACCAACTGAAAGCAGATTGGAGGCACCTTGTAGCTGCAGGGTCACTGAAACCTTTGAGTGTCTCTCAATGGAGACCTGGAGGCCCTTTTTGCTCTTCTGATTGGTTGTTTTTTGCTTCCTCATATTTCAAATTGTTTATTTGATTCTTGGAATCCTCTACTTACTGTTGAATCCCTGTAAATTATTCTTTATTTCAGTTAGTGTATGCCTAATTTCTGACTGGTCCTTTTCCTTGTCTTTGGCATTCTCACTAAGATTCTTGAAAGTATCACTAAGTTTCTTAAAGATCACATGAAGATCCTTGAGTAACCGTAACCATGGTTTAGAACTCTGTATTCAGTAATTTGCTTTCTTCCATTTCTTTCATTTGTGACATGTTTCTTTGTCTCTGCATTTTGGCTGCTTCCCTGTGTTTGTTTCTATGTATTGGGTAGAGCTGCTATGTCTCCTGGAGTTGGTAGAGTCACCTTGTGTAGTAGATATCCTTTTGGGTCCAGTGCCTCAGCCACTTCAGTCACCTGAGCTGGGCACTCTAGGTGCATCCCTGTGTGGGCTGTGTGCACAGTCTTGTTGTAGTTAAGACTTGATTGCTGTTGGCCTCATTGAGAGGAACTGACCTCCAGGCTAATTGACTGGAGGACCAGCTTTGACCACAGTGAGAGGGCTGCTGTTCAGGAAATACTGCTATGGAGCAGGACTTGCTTTAGTAGCACTGTGGTGCTCACTGAGTCTACTACCCCTTGAGTGTTTCGCTTGTGGAAGTGTTCCTTATCAGTGATTTAAAAATGTAACAGAAGATCCCTAGCCAGTTTGGCTCTATCCAAGGTTCAG